TGGCTTCTATATCATTAAACCACGGCGTATCGTTTGATTTAACAGTTATATTTTTATGCGGGATGACTGTATTAGCCACTTGCATAATCATTTTCTCAACAATCAGCACACGGTCATCCAGACACATGCCACCCATAAGGGAAAACCAGTTAACAGCAGAAAGTTCAAAATATCCCAATCCGTAGCTCGATAATCATAAATACATCGCGAAAATTCAGTGATAGGGCTCTTTGAAAAACAAAACTTAATTTGAACAATATTATGATCACATTTCTTAGAAAGAGGTGGCAAAATTTCTATTTTATCTATACTATGAACATGATCAACAAAAACAAGATCTAGACATGTCAGGGATTTCAATCTAGTTGGTTTATCAACTAGCTGATATAGCTGAACATCAGCAGTGAAATCGTAGAGATACTTCCCCTCTGCCGTTGATGGCTTGGTATTACACCATTGAAGTCCCCCATAACTATGTCTGTGTGCTTATACTGAGAGTTTGTACGTATGTCCAACAAGCTACTCTCTAAGTGACCTGTCGTATCTTCAATGTTGACCCAGTCAGGCCGATAGCATAGTGAAAGAACAATCGTTTTTAAATTGGAAATTTTCACTGAAAAAAACAACGATTCAATTTTATTTTGTAGAGAATTTGACGGTACATCTTTTGGAAAAACAATCAGACCTAAGGATTGGAAAGGGAAAAGATTATACGCAAAATATGAGGAGGACCAATTTATTCTGGGCCACCGGATAGTTCTTTTGTTAATATTCATGGAATTTATAGTTTTGTTGTATCAAATTAAATAAATTTCATTGTGATTTATAAATCGAATGAGAATCATGATTTTTTAAACAAAAGTGAAATAAATTCTTTCATTCTATAGTATACCCTCTATTTTAATCAATATGAAGACACATATACAAAAAAAAGGAAAAATTCATAGTTTATCTGTTTAGTGAAAGATCTATACAAATATAAAAAGGCTATAAAGCATCTGTATAATTGACTCTAATACAGTAGGCATCCTCATTTGTATCATCTTCATTATTGATCAAAATGAAAATATCCATAATCGTAATTTGAAATAATGGTAATAATGTAAAACTAAGAAAACGTTTTTCATTTGGTTGAAAATCCAATTTTGCATGATGTAGTTGTAATAAATCGGGATGACTCGTATTAAAACAAAATGTTTTACGCAATGAGTATGGATTAGTATAGGATATACGTTTACTCATCGGTTGACTTTGACCAATTTGAACTGTTTGTTCTATAATAAAAAAAAAAAGAAGAAAAAATTTATGTATCCTAATATTATGTAAAAGTTTTTTACCATATCTTTTTGATATATTTGGTAAACGAGACTGAACTCGAATTAACCATGTATCAATAATTTGATGTAATTCAATATCAACAGCATTTACACAATACGAACAAAATCCGGGCTTTGATGGACGCACAAGTAAATGTAATTCGTGTAAACCATTTGATGTACAACTAAAGGCATTACTCGGGGAAATTAAGAGTTCATCAGGTGAATTACCAAAACATTGAACAAGTCGAGTTGAACGTGTTCCTCTATAAATAGTTTATTCGTAATAATAAATATAAGGATAAAATGAATGTTATTTACCTTAACACTAGTGTTGCCCTTGTTGTTTGACTCTGAATACATTGTAAATCCATTCGTTTAACAGCATGAATATAAAATTGCCAAACAAGCGTTGGTTTATGCATAAATGAATCCGAATAGATGAAAACATAAAACGTTTTGACTGTTGGTGCATTTTGACTTCCAACCTAGAATATGTGAATAATTTCAAGATTATTATTGATTAAAAAAAATAGTGGACTCATATCATATTTTGAATAGCTGTGAATAGAGGACAACTAGATAGTTTGGAGGTATCTTTTCATAACAGAAATCAATGTGAGAAAACTTTTTTTGAAGTAGATTTTCAAACGTTGAAGTGTTAGTTTATTGCACCATTGTATCTGATGAGGATCCTACCATTATAATATATCGCAACTATACCATTGTTCAGTCAAATTTTAGCGAAAACTGACTCCGCTTAGAATCATACAATATATGGCTAGTTCAGAGGCGGCGGAACCACTAGGCTTAAGCCTTATCCGGATTTGGCTCTGTTAGGCTGAGCCTTACCCCATTTTGATGTAGAATTTTGAATTTAGCACTATGTTATTTAGATAATACTTGGCTACATTGACAGAAAGGCCTCATTTATCTGAATAAAAGACCAAAAGACGTTT